GGTGTGAGGACAAGTTTATTGATGTAAAAAAGAGAAGGAGGCAGAAAAATATTCTTTGGTATTATCACTTCTGAGAATTTTAATTATCTTCCCAATTGATTTTTAATTTCATTGAAATAGGACACAAAAATGGATAAAAGCTCAGATTTGTCTTTCATTAAATAGACCAAAGTACATGTTGAAAATTCATCAATAAAGATCACAAAATACCGAAAGCCAAAAGTGGAAACACTACTCGGTCCCCAAACATCAGAATGAAGCCTGTTTAGGAAAAGTAGACCTAACATGTTTTTTTAATTGACAAGATTCACACTCTAAAACCCAAAGATGTTGAAGATTAAGAGACATCACTTTCAACTTAGATAGACTTGGGTGACTCAGATGATCATGCAAAAGTTTAGGGGCAGGAGAAACCAGACAAGACACCGAAGAACTTGATTTTAAATAGTACAAACCATGTGATTAATGTCCTTCTCCAATCAAATAACTCATATCATGTTCCTGAATAACAAAAGAATTGGAAGTAAAGGTTACTGAATAATTCAAAGAACGAGTAAGTTGACTTAGAGAGATTAAGTTATAAAGAAAATTAGGAACAAAAAGAACATAATTTAAATTTAGATATGGAGTTAAAGTAACTTGGCCAACTCCTTGAGATTTCACTTTAGATCCATTAGCTACAGTGAGTAAGTGAGGAAGTTTAGGATAGGACATGAAGAAAAACGAGGAACTGTTACTAGATATATTATCAGAGACATCTGAATCAAGAATCCATGAGTTCTGAGAGATTGAGAAATGCATGTAGTTGAAACACTTGGCATTGAAGAGAATTGGCCCTGACTGCTAAACTTTCCAGATTTCAACTTCAAAAACTCCTGATACTCCTTATTAGAAATCTTCATATCTGGCTTCTCCGATTTAGATGCACAGGAAGTTTTGTTAGAAAAACTATGCAAGGAATAATATTTTTCTTGCGTGTGTCCCATCCTCTTAGAATGAGAGCATTGAGAACGAACTTTCGTACTACCATGTCCTTTTCGACTGTTGTGTCCTCTCCCTCGACCACGAGGAGCACCCATAGTAGAAGTTTCAACAGTCTCTACCTGATTCTCATTTGCGATGAGATTAGGAACCCGAATCAACCTAGTGACAAGATTATCCATTGATGGAACCTGATCACCAACTAGGATTTGATCACGCACGTGATCAAAATCAGAATGCAAACTTCTCAAAATTAGAACCATATATAGCTTATCGAGTTTGATGTTTAACTCCTCTAAGGTATTTACTACAAGAAACCTTTTTAATTCTTCCACAACAGCCCTGACTTTTGCGATGTGAACCATCATGTCATGATTGGTCTGCTTAAGTGACGTCACTCTTTGAATTGCATCAAAGAGACGTTGAATATCATTAGTAAAAATGTCTTAAGCCTTTTTCCAAAATGAAGAACATGTTTTGAATGACCTGAGAAGCTCAAGAACTTTTGGTTCCACAGATTTCCAAAAGATTGCACAAAGTTGAAAGTTTATTTTCTCCCACTGAGACCTTTCTGTAGCAGAAATAGAGTCTACATCCTTCTCCAAATGGTCGTGATGTCCATGACTGAAAAATCACAGCTCAACTGATGCAAACTAGGATAAGTAATTTTTCCAGTTGAGTCTGACACTAGTTATGGTGGGAGTAACGAGAAGGTGAAGGCATTGGATGATGCCATCTGAACAAAAAAACAAAAAAAGCCAATGAATAGGGTTAGCTAAGGGATCTTTCACACACAGTTTCCAACTAGAAAACTAAGGGCACCACTGGAGTCAGAGGACGTCGATGAGTCGAACGGAGGTGGTCGACCTTGATTCCAGTCACTGAAAGGCGGTGCGTGGGACACATGTGCCTGAGAAGGCTCCTCGGGACGAATGCGTGTGATGACACATGGGGCAGCTGACGGAGGAGAGACTTGCAGGCGTGGGTCGCACTCCTTGAGATGCGCAAAACCCCTTCTTCGCCTGTCCAAACGAAGACGGTGACCAACGGTGACGACGACGGACGACAGCCCACGATGGTCGAAGATGACAGAGGTAACCGGAAATCAGTGCAGGATCTTACCGGCTCTGATACCAACTTGAAAAAACTTATTTAGGGTTTGATACAGTGACCAAAGACACTGATAGATTGTATTTATAGAAAAAAAATACAATAGAGAGTATATGGGCCTTAACCCAAACTCTTAACCCTAATTTAAGGAATATATAAAAAGAATACAAAAAGATATATGAACAACAAATCTCAACAAACCTAATCTTAAATATGTAAGAGTGGGGGTGCCTAGCTAAGATAATGCTACCCGATCTTAAGAAAAGAAAAGAAAAATAATCTTAAATATGTAAGAGTGGGGGTGCCTAGCTAAGATAATGCTACCCGATCTTAAGAAAAGAAAAGAAAAATAGGCTCTAAAACTTCTGATTATATGTTCTTAGGCTATGTGGAACATAGTGCTGCCTATAGGTTTCTTGTCCTTAAAAGTGATGTAATTGAGCATAATACTATAGTGGAGACAAAAAATGTTGAGTTCTATGAAAATATTTGTCCTCTAAAGATTAATGCGAACATAAACAAGCTATAAATATTAATAGTGATGACATGTATGAAGATTTGAGAAGAAGTAAAAGATAGAGAAGTAAAATGACTTTTTCACTTATCTAGTTGAAAATTATCCAACGAATTTTTTAGAGGCTACTAGTGCTCTTGATGCAACGCATTGAGATTAGGTCATTAGCACTAAAATTGACTCAATCAAGAAAAATAATACTTGGAGTAGATTTTTCTAAGGGAGCAAAATCCATTGGTTATAAGTGGATGTTTAGGAAAAAATATCATCCTGATGGATCCATAAATAAATATAAGGCAAGATTAGTAGTAAAAAGTTTTACTAGAAAGTCCAACATTATTTTGATATCTTTGCCCTTGTGACTAGGATTTCCTCTATTCGAGTTTTGTTAAGAAAGCCTTTTTGAATGGTGAATTAGAGAAAGAAATTTATATGACTCAACCTGAAGGGTGTGTTGCTCCTATTCAAGAGAACAAAGTGTGCAAATTCTTAAAATCTTTGTATGGATTAAAATAGACACCAAAACAGTGACATGAAAAACTTGATAGTATTATAATTTGTGATGACTTTTTCAACTAATGATGCTGATAAATATGTATACTATAAATTTGAAAGTACTGAATGTGTTATACACAGACAACATGCTAATATTTGGTATATGCATTGACATAATCTCTAGAACTAAGTTGTTTCTAGGATCTAAATTTGAACTGAAATGCATTGAGTGAAGCCAATGTGTTTTTGGAGTTAAAATCATAAGGAAGGGAAATAATATTTTACTATCCCAAGAACAATGCATTGAGAAACTTATTAAGAAGTTTGGGCATTATAACTTCAAATTAGTGAGTACCTTATATAACGCTAACTCTAAGTTAAAGAAAAATAGAGGAGACTCTATTTCTCAACCTTAGTATGCCTAGATAAGGGGGAGCTTAATGCATTTAATGAGCTTTCTTAGACCTGACATTGCTTATGTAGTAGGTAGATTAAGTAGGTACACTCAATGTCCTAATTGGGAATGTTGAGATGCCCTTGCAAGACTTATGAGATACTAAAGAGGTTCAATGAATTATGTTATTGAATATAGTGAGTTTCTCATTGTACTGGAAGAGAACAATGATGATAACTGGATCTCTGATTCAGATAAGACAAAATCCACTAGTGGTTATATATTTATACTTGAGGGTGGTGCAATTACGTGGAGATCAACTAGACAAACAATTGTTGCAAGATCGACAATGGAGTCAGAGTTTGTTGCTCTTGAAATGGTTAGAAGTGAAGCTGAGTGGTTGAAAAACTTTTTAGCAAACATTCCGTTAAGAATGAAGCCAACTCCATCTGTGTTAATACATTGTGATTGCTAATTGACAATATCTATAACTAAAAATAAAAATTATAATGAAAAGAACAATCATATACAATGGAGACACAATTTGGTGAAGCAAATGCTAAAAAGTGGAACAATTTCCATTGACTATATTAAGTTAGAATGTAATATAACAGATTCTTTGATGAAATCCCTAGGGAGAAACATGGTTTTAGAAACATCGAGGGGAATGAGACTCAAGCCACTTGCAAACAAACAAGTCATGGTAACCCAACTTTTGTGATTGGAGATCCAATGAATAAGGTTCATATGGGTTGAAACAAGTCACTTGTTAGTTCTGCTAACAGTAAAATTGATTTAAAATCACTTATATCCATTCTTATGGTGTGTGACAGTGCTAGATATTATATCATTGAGAGGTTAAACTTTATAATTAAAATTCTATGTGATGTATGAATTTTAATCTAAACAAAGTTTTTAATGAATTCATATCCCTTATAGGTGGTGTATGATTTGCAGTATACGCTTGATGAAATCACCTATATGAGTGTCAAGTGGAGCCGCTTGCATGAGATACTAGCAAGATTTCTAGAGCACTCATGAATACCGGGTGCGCGCATGGCTTAGTAAGTACAACACAATGATAACAACAAGAATTATGGGGGTGTATTGTGATTCATAAACCGCTAACACATGGTTAAGTGTTTGGTTCATATAGCTTGTTATACCAATTACACTATATGTTAAGTTTTCAATATAGGACTGGTTCATATAGTTTACTATACCAGCTCTGATGCATTACGTGATTTTGCAATACGTGGGGTATTGTTATACATTCAAAGTATTGCAAACAATTTTCCCTCTCTACATAAACACTGCACTCTCATTTTCCTCTACTCCTTCCCTTTTATATATGCTCTCCAACTTCCTGCATGGTAGGAGACTTTTCCTCCTTGATGAACGGAACCCTATGAGAGTGGATTACAAAACTACTACCTCGTGATATGTACCACGATCCTTGGGAGGTTGAGATTTGAACATTGCTGGCTGGGGCTGCGGGAGAAGTTGATGAACATTGCTAGGGTTGCGGGGGAAGTTGTCGAACGTTACTGGGGACTTGGGGAGGTTGAGCAATGTGAACGTTACTCTTACGCGAAGAAGAGTTTCTTACCCATACCACACCTATAAATAGATCATCCTACACTTCCCGAAAACACAATCATTCATTCTCTCTTCACTTCTCTTCTCACCTTTTTATTTTCTTCTTATCTTGGGTTTATTTACTCTTTTAAGAGTTTTTTTGTTAGTTTTTGAGTTTCTTGAAAAATCCGGAAAGTTCTTAGTTGTATCTTGAGAGACTTGCGCAATACACCGAGAATAAGTTCTTAAGGGAAGTGATTATACATGTCTCAAGAATCAAAACTTGTTTTTGTTCTTGTCAGATTTTACAACAGAATCTTCTATTCCATAACCATAGTGCTTGTTCTTTTCTACCGAGTTTATGGTTCGCAAGATTTGTTGTTTCCTTGCTAAAATCATTAAGGTATTATAACCCCCCTCTCTTAGTACCATGCTCAATAATCTTGTGGATGGGAACATCCCCAAGAGTACATTAATATCACACAATTGAGTCCTTGAGTTATTTGATTCTTAGACATTAATTTATTACATAATGTAGGAACAAGGAAGGTGAGATAAAGAGAGTGAGGGCATTAGTGCACAGTTCCAACACCAGTGACTGGGTTTGTTATTCCATTTGAATTAGCTATGCAAGTTCTTGGTGGAGTTGACTGGTAGAATTCCATGGGATCAAAGGTCATATGGGACTTGACGGATACTAATAATCTAAGAACAAATATGTGCGGGTTGATAGTATTACTTCTTTAGGAGAAGGGGTGATTTTTATTACATCCAATCCAATCTAGGGTTCTAAGTATCTGTAGAATGGGGACATTAGTTCCCCGAAACTTGCGAGCATGAACCTTCAAGAACCCCAAAATTATTAAATGCTATTTTCTAACCTTTTGATTATGTTGCATAAAGTCAAGGTGGAACCTGCACATGTTGATCTACGACGTATGAATCACATAAAATCAAGATCTCATCCTAGCTATCTTGTATCACATTCTTTCGATTTGAAATTATTCATTTTAAACTCAGTATTGAGGACATGAACTTTAACAGCTCGCACTGCTATGTTTTCTGGGCTTTAAATTCGTGTTTTGAGTACTTCTGGGTTCTCTACTATATTATTTCTTCTATAAATGTTGTCTTATCTGAGCATTGCATTGTTATAGTTCCTTGACAGAGGCTTTTTGCATGGCCATATTAGAGGCTGCTAGTTGTGGATTGTTAACGGTGAGCACGCGAGTTGGAGGTGTTCCTGAGGTAGGTATAAAGGTTTTTAATATAGTTTCTTTTTTATTAACTAATGAACTTCCATTTCTAACCAGTTCCACATTCATGGTTAATGAGACAATTGTGGAATAATATAATCAGTGGTTGATATATATTAACTCCCTTGCTGTAGGTTTTACCCGATGACATGATTGTGTTGGCAGATCCTGATCCAGGTGATATTGTGCAAGCAATCCAAAAGGCAATATCTATGCTTCCCAAAATTGATCCCCAAGTCATGCACAATCGAGTGAGTTTGATGTTTGAATGGCCTCATTCTGTTGCTTTCAGTGTGAAAACTAGTTACTCATCACTTTTATTTATTTTCTATAGATGAGAGAACTCTACAACTGGCATGATGTTGCCAAGCGAACTGAAATTGTATATGATCGTGCTTTGGAATGCCCCGATCAAAGTCTATTGGAATGTCTCTCACGGTAATACTTTCGTAGGTTCAATTTGATTCTATCAGCAACACGTAATTGTACAAAGAAGTCCACTATTCATTCTCTTTCAATCATGTGATTCGCTAATTACTATAGTATTATCTAATCTACTTGTACATAAGCCAGAGTTAAAGCATTGTATTTTGGGATCTTTATGTAACTAAACTTTGTTGGTATAATTGGTTCATGTGTAATATGAACACCTAAATTAGGAGTGTGCACAAAAAATGAGTATCATAGATTGTCTGCTTTATTGAAATGGTGTCATCTTGTTGTGAGAGCATTTTTGTCCTAATGAGCGTAGGACCTTATTTTGGCTACTTCTACGATTGCTGATTGTTCTTTTTCTTTTAGATACTTGTCTTGTGGAGCTTGGGCAGGCAAGCTCTTTTGCTTGGTTATGATACTGAGTTTTTTGTTTTGGCATCTACTGGAACTATGGCAGGTATGTTGCTTTACTTGGGATATGCTACACATTCTCTTATCCATGTTTGGGAGTTGTGACATATTTGTATTCCATTATTAGCCTGCAGATGATATTGAGGAGGTGCCAGATGTTATATTTTCACAGAACTGTGATGAAGAGGTGTTGCAGAAATCCTAACTATTGAAATGCAGAATAGTAGTGATGGTATTCCATTAGCTTCCCGGATCTTGAAATAGGAAGTATATAAATGTACCTATTACTAGAGCCTTACATAACAAGTGAGGTAATCCAGAAAGAAAAATTGTGAACTCAGTATAAGCATTCAACTTTACTTGAGTCATCAGTGGAACTTCCTGAAAGTAGGATGTAAAGAGATAATTGCAGTGTTTTACAAAATCTGCATGGAATCTTCATCAGAAAAAAAAAAAATTTTGTTGTTGTATAGCAAAAAATTGTCAAGAACTTTGCATCAATGTTTCATCTTAGATTATGAACTTCTAAAAACTGCAGATGATCCTATTCGAGGGTGTTTGATATTTTCTTGTCAATAAAATGCAAATAACAACAGATTGCATGAAACTTTTGCCAAAAAAAAAAAGAAATTACGAGGTGTTATTGGATTTTAATTCATTCAAAATTTCACTATTTCTTATTATACTTGCTTTACATATATGTTTTTTTTATAAGCAACATGACTTTTCTAATAATAATATTAGTAATAAATATATGTTTACTCAACAATTCATTACATTCTGTTATTGTTTACTAGTCGACAATTTAATATCTTTGATTACCTATTGTTAACTTCATATTTTTCCAGTGGCTTTTATGATTAAGTATATAGTTCATTTCTTCTAAAAAAATATATATGGCTCATATTTTATTACTTTATTATTTAAACATTTTGTTCCCAAAAATTTAAATTATCTTTTTAAAGAAATCTCTATTTTTCCAATCTAAGTTATATTTATTTTAAATTAGGTTAGTTTAATCGTACATTTTAGTTTTAAATTAATTTTTTTAAGTTTAACTTTTATTTTAGAAAAATAGATGATAACTCTTCAAATTATGTTTTTTTGAAAAAAAAAAAGAATTTCCTTCAAAAAATAGCACTTTATAAAAGTATATTTAAATGATTTAAGTTTAAAAATATTTTTAATTCCCAAAATTAAATACAATTATTTGTTTTAGTTCTTCAAAAAATAATTTTTTTAAAAAGTAGTCTTTCAAAAAAAAACCTAGTTGCAATTTTTGTCTTTTAAAAAACTTTACAAAAATTAATTTTAATATATATATATATATATATAATTAGATATGTTAATTTTTTTTCTAAATTATCATTAAATTTTAACATTATAAAGGAGATTAGTTTATATGATCACTTTTCCGTATATATAATTCCTTCCCATTTTATTTTTTTTATATTATATAATATTTTTTTGGTTTTTTTAATTACTTTTGTTTTAAATTATAAATCCTATTTTATATTTAATAACTGTTTCTCTAATATTTGTTTAATTGTAGATTTTTTTAAAAATTATAACTTTATTTTTAATATTTAAAAAATATTTTCTTAAAAAATGTGGACAAAGATGTGATGTTAGTTTGCATTAATTGATAAGAAAGAAAATTACATATTTGTTTTTTACAGTTTTTTTAAAGACTAAAATAATAATATTTCTTTTATGAGGTAATTTCTACATTCTTTTAGGCACTTAAAAAAAAAATCAAATTAAGTCACTAAAAACATATTTAATAATGTCATTGAATTTATCAAGTTAAACTATTCTACGTATTAAATTCTTACTTCAATCTAACGCAAGTTATGTGTGTCCGTTCTAAGTGCTGCACTACAAAAGCAACTTGTTCGGTGAATCTCTATTCTCTTAGTTTCCACGTATCATCTCCTTGTTTTCTCCATTTGTAAGTCTCTCTTTCTTTCTCTCTCATCCTCTTCACACTTTACTGCATAGTAATCTTCAATTCAGCAATCAATATTCCAGAATCAAACCCTAGTTTACTTTCTTTTAACTATTCAACCCTCTATTTTTGTCTATTGCATAAGTTTTCAAATTTGAAGTCATACTCGTTCAACCGTGGTCTTTATCTTTCATACCCCTATCGTCAGGGGTCAGAGGTGGGAAAATTCGCTTCCAAGGCAGCTTCTTTAGCAGTAAGCTATCAATTTTTTGATGCCCAGATCTTGTTGTTTTTGAAAACTGTTTATTAGTCTTTCTATGATTTGACTTTATTACAAAGAAATTGACATAAATTAGACCCGAGAGAGTACTTTGCTTATTGATTGTAGTTATGGTTTCTGTTGAGCATGGTTGCATTATTCTCTCAATAACCCTGTGTCACAGCGAATGTGTTGCATTATGGGTTATACCTACAAAAACTATGTGTTTGTCTTTATCTGAATTTCATATACAGAAAATCCATATCATTGCACTGAATATTATTGTATATTATAACTACTACCTTATATGGCCACTTTGGCTGTAGTGGAATTGTGTCGCCCGGCGAAAACCTAGCACCACAGCTGCACAGCTCCTGTTGAGGTAGAGGAAGTCGCTTTGGGTCAGTGTGACCCTATCCAACCCAAGACTAACCAGGTTTCTATTTTGAATCCGTGGCTGTTTGTTTGGGTTTAGACCCAGCTAACAGCAAGGAAAAAAAGTTGGGTTTTACAACCCAACCTAAACCTGAGTCATAGCAAGAAACAAAAGGGTGGGTTATCATTGCGCTCTCTCATCTCCCACACGCAGCCGCCCCACATCCTTCCCTCACACACAAACCTGAGTCACCATTGTTGCCACAGCCACAAGGTGAATTTGTGGTTGTTTTTTTTTTTTTTCTCTCTAAGTTCAACCCCATTATTTTTTTCATCCTTCATTTTTCTGCAGCAAGGTGAGTCAACTTTTTTTTTCCTCTCTTTTTTTTGTATGTATGCTATTTTCATCTGCAGCTAGCTTTCTGGGTTCTTGTGATTCATGCAGGATAGGATTTAAGTTGAAGCTGGGCTAATTATGGCCGATTTGGAGAATTTGCTTTTGGAGGCTGCAGGGAGAACCGGTACATCTGGGAGAAATCGCCATTCTCTTCCATCTTCAAGGAGACGGCATGATGGTGCTTATTCAGATGGTGGGAGTGATTCTAGGGATGATGATTCAGATGACGAGCTCAATTATGCAAGCAGAAAGCCCTCTGGATCACAAGTTCCTCTGAAGAAAAGGTTAGATCCGTCAGAAAGAGATGATGATTTAGGCAGTCAGGAAGAAGCAGACGATGATGATGGTCGTAGTGATCATGATGGCGATAGCAGTGATGAATCAAATATTGGTGACGATCTCTACAAGGATGAGGATGACAGGCGAAAGCTTTCTGAGATGACTGAACTTCAAAGAGAAATGATTTTATCAGATAGGGCTACAAAGAAGGACGATAAAAATTTATTGGGTAAAATAGCATCCAAGCGTGAGAAAGGAAAGGTGCCTGTGCCCAGAAAACAGTCTCCACCTATGTCATCATCACGAATGCGTGCATCAGCCAGATCTGCTGACAGGTCAGCCAAGAATGATGCACTAAATGAATTGCGTGCAAAGCGATTAAAACAGCAAGATCCAGAAGCTCACCGCAGACTGAGAGAGGCATCAAGAAATGCAGGGCCCCGGCATTTTTCTCCACCCAAGCGCAAACCATTCACATCAGCAAGTCTTAGTAGTTCAAGTCATAGTGAGAGTGAAAGTAGGTCCCACAGTGATGATGAAGGTTCAACTGGGGATGGAGGAATTGTTGACAGTGATGATGAAAGGGCATTAGCTGGGTCTGAGGGTCCTTCATTTCAGGATATAAAGGAAATAACTATCCGCAGATCAAAACTTGCCAAATGGTTTATGGAGCCTTTCTTTGAGGAGTTAATAGTTGGGTGCTTTGTAAGAGTAGGAATTGGTAGATCAAAAACTGGACCTATCTACCGGCTATGCATGGTGAAAAATGTTGATGCTTCAGAACCTGATCGTCAGTATAATTTGGAAAATAAAACTACATACAAGTATTTGAATGTTGTTTGGGGAAATGAAAGTTCTGCTGCTAGATGGCAAATGGCTATGGTTAGTGACTCTGCACCACTTGAAGAGGAGTTCAAACAGTGGGTTAAGGAAGTAGATCGCAGTGGTGGCCGAATGCCCACTAAACAAGATGTGTTAGAAAAAAAGCAAGCTATACAAAAAGCCATCACATTTGTATACTCAGCAGCTACTGTGAAGCAGATGTTACAAGAAAAAAAGTCTGCCTCAACAAGGCCACTAAATGTTGCTGCTGAGAAGGATCGGCTGAGGAGGGAGTTGGAAATAGCCCAAAGTAAGCATGATGAGGCAGAAGTGGAGAGGATCAAGAGAAGATTGCAAGAATTAGAGGCATCCAGACAAGCAAAGCAGAAAGATGCCAAGGCATTGAAACTGGCTGAGATGAATAGGAAAAACAGGTTCGAGAACTTCAAGAATGCATCTGAATTGAAGCCAGTGAATACAGGTTTGAAAGCTGGGGAAGCAGGTTATGATCCATTTTCAAGGAGATGGACTAGATCAAGGAATTATTATGCTGCAAAACCTGGTGAAAAGGCTGCGGCTGGAAATAATAGTGTTAATGGCATAGTGGCTGGAGCTGGCAGCAATGGAACAGGGGCACCAGTTACAGCAGAGGCTGGCATGGTGGCTACTGCTGCTGCCTTAGAAGCTGCTGCTGGCGCTGGTAAGTTAGTGGATACTAGTGCTCCTGTGGATCAAGGGACAGAGTCAAATATACTGCACAATTTTGAGCTGCCAATATCGTTAGCATTACTTCAAAAGTTTGGTGGGGCCCAAGGAGCTCAGGCTGGATTTATGGCAAGAAAACAAAGGATAGAAGCAACAGTTGGGTTTAGAGTGTTGGAAAATGATGGCAGGAGGCATGCCTTGACTCTGACAGTCAGTGATTACAAAAGAAGAAGAGGGCTTCTTTGAAATATGTTGCTTCTCTTGCAGAGTTGAGGTAAGTTCAAGCTTCTATGGTCTGAAGATGGTTTGTGTTGACTGTGTAATATTATGCATCTTGAATTTTTACGTGGTCATGTTTCCATATGTTTGTATTTCTCAATTCTCAAACATTAAGCAATAGATATTTTGATTGATGTTAGTGAAGAATGTGTGTAATTTAACGATCATATTTAAGCCAGATCATTGGAAGTTAAAGAGAGAGCATGATAAATGCACAGAAAAAAAAATGATATCATGGTGAAGTATTAACACAGAATCTGTTTTTATAGCTGAGACCATTATTGGCTAGAAGAACTTTCGTTTGTTTCACTTTCAATTTCCTGTGTGCTGAGTCTTATGATGAATTTTCCTTTGCTCTTGTTTTCCGGTAAGGGAAGCTTCTCTTAAGATTGTTGTAGTACCTATTTTAGTGATGATATAGAGTAAATTACCTTTTAGGTTTTGTGAAATTATGCAAATACCAACCTGTTTTTTCTATCCCTACCCTTATCTTCTTTAATTGTTGATATTCTCTTTATATTACATTAACATTGTGTTTGAAAAATATGACAGCATATTCCTATAAGGAATATTTATGTATGTGTTAAATAAAACGTGTGAGGGGAAGAGTTGTGTAATTTTAAGAAAATTTTCACGTGATCAATGTAATTTACTCTAAATTATATGAGGAAAAGTAGTGGTCAAATTCAAATTAATGGTTTATGAAGCTATAATGTTACTTGTGAAAATATGGACACTTCCAATATCACCTTTTAAATTTATTGGGTTTGAAAATATGGGATTTTAATTTTTCATTTTTGTTATTAGTTATTTAATAGGTAGGATTGAATGGTTCTTTCAGTTTGACCATATATCTATGGGTGATAGGTGTACCTAACATAGAGAGAAGCATGAACAACACTAAAGGTTAATCTTACAACCCTATAATGTGGTTTTTCTAGGACATGTTATGTCTAAAGATGAGATTTGTGTAGATAAAAAAAAAAGTAGAAACAAAGCACAATTGTCCTATAGACTTGGTTGACTATTTTCGTCGTTTTGTAAAAGTTTTCTCTAAACTTGCAATCTCATTGACTAAATTGACTCAAAAAAAGTTGAATTTAAATAAACAAATACATTAATGGAGAACTTTCATAGTTAAAATTTTTTTTGAATTCAACACCAATCTTGGCTTTACATTAAATGGGTGGGGATATGCATCATATTATGATTCTTCTAATGTTGGCCTCGGTTGTATGCTTATCTAACATGGAACAATTATTACCTATGTATCTAAACAACTCAACATAATTTAGAAATGGTTGTAGTTATTTGTGTTCTAAAAATTTGAAAGCATTATCTTCATGGTGAAACTTGAGATTTATATCAATCACAAAAGTTTTAAGTATATTTTTCAACAATGATATCAAAATTTGAGAAATAGGCGATGGATGAATTTCTTGAAGGATTATGATTGTACAATCTTGTATCATATATAAAAAGGCATCTGTAGATGTTTTGGCTAGAAAATTCATGGGTATAGTCTTGTTGACTTAGTAAAAGTGAAAAGATCGGTAATTAAGGAGTTCTAAGAACTTATTGAAAATGGAATTTAAATTGAGCTAGCTTAATTGAGTGCATTGCTGGGTCGTGTTCAGATTCATTCCATCTTGGTTAAGGATAAAACAAGGGCTAAGATGAAGACCCTCAAATGGTAAAGATGGCGCTAGATATTTGAAATGGCAATGTTTTAGAGTTTTCAATTGATCCTGATGGTGTCTTGTGATTATAACTTAATTGTGTGTTCTTGATGTGGTTGATTTGAGGAGTAAATCGTGAACGAGACTCATCATTATTCTTACATTGTTCATCCTAGTTCTAGTAAGATGTGTAAATAATTATAAGAATTGTATCGGTGAGAAGGGATGAAGAAGGATGTAATAGAGTTTGTTTCAAAAATGGAGAGGGGTACCTATCCCTTGAAGGTTGCTTCTACATGAACTAGTAATAAAAGGGTTTTAGTTAGTCTTACACAATTGTGAGTTAACAATAATCATTATGTGATTTTTATTTTTATTTTTATAATTATTTCACTTGTTCTAGTTGCTATTTTAAATTCATTAGTTATTTAAATTTGATGGGGATATGTCTTTCAAATTTCTTTTGGCTTTTTTTGAATGATTGTTAATTTAAAATTTTATTTAATAGAGTGATGTGTACGAAATTTTACATCATCATACTTAAAAGTTATTTGGTTTGAAAATACAATATATTTTTTTATAAAAGAAAGATGATTATGAGAATGGTTTTGGAAATCCATGTTAGAAGCTTGTAGTCATTAATAATATTAATGGCCTAACTTAGATACTTTATACTTTTTGGGAGGAGATGACTATGTGTTAGATGGAGGCTCCTATGCACAAAGAGTTTTATCAACAAGATGGAGTCACCCTTGATAGTTTGATTTGAATATGAGAGGAGGGAATCATCCGATAGATGAAACCACTTTAATGGGAAAGATCAGCCGAAGAGAAAATGATTATCATTAAGATAAAGTTACTTTTTATTTTTCTTGAGTGTGATTCTTGTCATAATTAAAAATTTTGATTACAAATTTTTTATTTTAAATTGTAAATTTAATTGTTTTTAATGTCTTATGATGATATGAGTAGGTATCACTTTTGGATAACTCAAGAACTTCTATCAAATACTCATTGAAATTATCTTATAGAAGAAATGACTATTTGTGCATTGTAGTATTTTTTCTTTCTAATTTATGATGATTATTATTTCCTCACTAAGCCTTTGTGGCTTACCTCATCTTTTTGGTATACAGATTCACAAGCAACTGTGTAGCAAGCTGATGTACGCTTCAATTGTCCCACTTCTTCGTTTTTTGGCAGGCATATGTTCTTAGAGTGACCTTTGATGTCATTTAGGGTCTTGTGTGTACTCTGTATCTGAGAGTACTTAACTTGTTAAATAATATCTATTTAACACTGTGAAAGTTCATTATGTATCGTGAGATTGTCTTATTATGAACTTATTTAAGTTGTAATATCTATTTAACATTGTGTGAAAGGACATTATGTATTGTAAGATTATCTTAGTATGAACTTATTTGAGTGTAATATTTATTTAAAATTATGTGAAAATATATTATTTATCTTGAGATTGTCTTACTATGAACTTATTTGAGTTGTAATATCTATTTAGTATTGTGTGAAAATATATTATGTATTATGAGATTATCTTAATAGAAACGTATTTGTTAGCAGGTTTATAATATCTTGAGAATGTTGAAAATACAAAAGAATCTATAACAATTTTTGATAAATGGTTTGAAAATAGGAATTATTTTATATATATTATTGTATTTGGAAGTAAAAATCATTTTATGTTTATTAATCTAGAGATTTCAATTTGTATTATATTACCTCTACTAAGTTAACATTTATTTATTTTGTTGATATTATTGTTAAGGAAAGACATGTAACCAATTTTCACATGTGATTAATAAATTTAATATAAAATTAGATATATATTATTAAATATGTCAATTTTTATTTTCATAAGTTCTTATTAAATTTTTAGAGTTTGAAAAGGGGAAAACAAACTTTCAGAAATAAATTGATTGGAAGGGTATAAAACTTGAACATTGAAATAGAAAATAAAAGATGTATAAACCTACGCCTAAATTAACTGAAAATCTTGGTCAAACGTAAAACCATAAGTCAAGCAACACAAAAAACAATGTCTTTTCATGCACATACTAATATGATTAATCTCTGAATCGAAATACTTACTAAATACTTTAATAATGGAATTGAAAATCTGATCCAAATTTTATTTTCTAAGAACACTTTCTAATACGCGATACCTCCAAAATATTTCATTAGCAAACAAAATTTAAAAATAACAAAGAAAATTTGAGAAGAAAATAAAAACGTAAGAACATAATACGTTTGCTCCTCTAAGATAAATAGATTTCGTCATATGAAAACTAAAAAAAAATGGAGGAAAAAAGAGAGGAGAGTGTATTTAGAAGAAAAAATGAGTTCGCAAAAGCCCGAAAGGCCCACCAGGTTCTCACACGTGGCGAAGCCACGTGGTAACCGTACTCTTCTTCCAACGCCGTTATTCTGAAACTCTGTCAGTTAACCCGCCACGATAGGCGAGGAAACGTTGGCGTATCAGAACGGTGTCGTTTCTTACGCCGATCTAGATACCAACTCCCCCTCCTCCTCCGCCAACCGCCTCCAAAAAATTGCGGGAGAGCGAGTGCCGGAGAGGGAAGCAGAAGAAGAACAATCGCAAGGCCTTTAAGGAGCCGGTCGAATACAGTGACCATGAGAATACCGGTCTGTTGCAGGTTCTCATCGTTTTTCTGGTTCTATATAGTTTGTCTAGCTTCGTAATCAACAATGGCACTTATATGCTGGGGCTGAGATCCTATTGTCTTTAATGTTTTAAAATTGATAGTGCTTGGCCACAGAACTTTACTTCATCTACATGTCATTTACTTATATCTCATCAAAAGTTATTATTGTTGCAGGGAAGAGAGGTACTAAGAAACCACCCTTTCACTTTCCTGATTTCATTGCTGCCACAGAATCAAGAAAATCAGACAGATAATGTGATCTTACGTTGTTGGCATATGTTCTTCTGACTCTTTGTCGAAGTGGCCCACCTACAAAAAGTAATGTTTGAAGTAAACATTGTTTGTATGATTTTCATAGAAAATTAATACGTATTTGTGTATTTGAAAATTAATTCAATGATGGGATGTTACTGCTGTTTGAAAATCTTGATGTGATGGAACATATTACTTTGAACTTTTGATATTTTTTGTGGAGATATTTTAAAATAATTTCAATGGTTCAGTGGGCAGATGTTAATTTATGATTATACAGTCCCTATCAGATTCTCTTTTAATATATATTTGATGCATGTGTTTTGAATCAGCTGCTTGCAATTTGCTCAAGTTTTAATAATCTGTTACAAAATCACATTTTATTTATTCAAATTTTGTGTCCATTTTAGTACTGATCTACATCCGCAATTTGTTTATATTGGAAAGTTGGTGTCTTGTTAGTTTTCTGACTGGTGTTTTAGATACTTTTCTTATAGACGTTTTGTTGGTTTTTTCTGTTTCTTTCAACTGAACTTGATATAACATTAAACTTTGTCTTTGTAATATACGTGTTTGTCTTTTTAAGTATTTTAGTAATTTTATTAAATTACTGTACTCTGTGTTTATCTGCCAGGTTATTTTCTGTTTTCTCATGCAGGTTTATCTTGAGAAAGAGAGAGTAAAAGGTTGAAACAAAAGCAAAGGGAATGCATGCAACCAAAAATGGTGAACATGGATATTTGATTGTCAGGTTTTATTATTATATATTTACCTATTCTAGTTTTGCACTCTTTGTCTTGCTTGCTTTTATGTTGTATTCAGAAATCAGGACAATTGCCACCCTTCTCTTATCAATTTGTTTTGCTAGGTTTTCTTTATGTATTTTTTATAATAGAACATAATACTGCCTTTAATTCAAAACCTTAAAAGCAATAGGTTTTGGTCTTTCTCACTTATGTTTTTCAATATAGTTATTTCTACATAATGTGAGACTCATTCAAACATCTATATCATGTAGGTAAAGAATTTGAGGATGGTACATTTTTAAATGTAAGCACCAGATTTGAAATACTGCTTCCTTAATTACTTATAATGACAACTAAGAATAGGCAATATTCATGCACCAATCTCTATATATAGAAGTTAAGGAAATGTCAGTCACTGAAAGATCAATAAATTATTGAGTGATTTGTATTAACTGCATGTTTGGAATCCTGTTCATTGAAATTTTACGCATGTCCAAGAAGAATCTATTTGCAGTAGCTTCTGCATAATTGGTTTAATCTGATTCAATTTTTTTACATGCATATATTTGTAACAGTTTTCAAACACAATATAAGTTGAGGAAACTGTCAGATTTGTGCTTTAAATGTACTTCTTAGTTGTAGTATTTTGTTCATTAGGTCATTATTAGTTCTTTACTGGGTTCATTTGGAACTTTCAAAGGCAATCAGTTTGAATTTCAAATCTATAAACTGATTAGATTTTAGCTTGTTGTTGGCAGTGTGTAGCTTAGCTTATTGAGATGTTTTCTTTCAACTTGATTGTTATACCTTTAATTTTCATATTTTAATCCATAGAGTTGAGTAGTTATCACTTAAAAAGGGTTTCTGGTTGAACTCTAGTATACTCTATATTTCCTCTATATTTCAATTGAAATTGTTGTTAACTCAGTATCACTTGCACACCTTGTATAATATGGAATTCCTTTTGATGAGATGTTTCCCTTGATCTGGTAAAGTGTCAAGATTATCAGTACCTATAGAAGTTATAACTTTAGTGTTATTTATAGGATGCCGCATAGTTAAAGTTGAGGGAGATGAAGCCTGGCATGTTAGCGCAAAATTAAAAGAAGCTCTTGGTATGTATGAGGATGCACCTCGTTCATGGCTAATTAATATGCAGGTAGTATCAATATCCTGTGCCATCATGTTGTATTATTTTGTTCTTCTTGGACCTTTTGTAACATTAAATTTTTCCCCAGAGATATGGTTCTCCTCCATCTTGTTCCATCAGATCCCCCAGGCTTGAATGCTCCCTCTCCCCTTGGTGCTAGTTTTAGTTATCATCCTAGTGGCTGGGGCAAGCCTCCTGTTGATGAAGTATATTTTTCATATTCACTCTTCTCATAATTTGAATTTTTAATTATGATGGGTTTCTGAATTTTCATTTTTTTCTAAAAGGGCTCTCCACACCTCTTCCCGTTTTCACCCCCTGACAATTTTTATTCTCTGCAACTAAACAGTATGGGTTTCCATTTTATGGAGATGGTTTTGGGTGTTTATCGACAAGAGAAGCCTAATTATGAGGTTGATTTATATCGAAATGCTATGTAATTAGAGGGGTATCTTCTCTTTGATACAACTAAAATCTTTCAATGTTGCCCTTTTTATGTTCAATGACAAAGTCAAGTGCCTTTTTATGTTCAATGTTATTTTCTCTTTTCTCTTCTTTTGCTAATGGTATTCCTAGTAGTGTTTTACTTAAATATTCTCACAATGCAGGAAGAGCCGGTTGATAAGACCAAATGCCGGGGAATCTTGGAAGAGAAAGAGGAGGAGGAAGAGAAGGATGATGAATTTGAAGCTATTCATTCTGTTGATAGTCTGTCAAGGTAGTATGATCTGTTAGTTTCTTTTCAGGAGTGGTTAATTAGCCTGAACAACCAACCTCATGAATGTTTCACAGGTCCTAGAGTCTAGATTTCTTGCTAAACTGGTTATGCTTATAATTCTCTACTTTGCATGTGTGTGAGGATGGTGGTTGATAGTCTCTCAATCTCTGTTTGTGAACTCATTTTTTTCCTCTTTCGTGTTGCATTTTCCTTCCTACTGGAGTGGAGACAGCTGATGTTATTGACGACCTTGGGAAGCAGAAGAAGAAGGAACCTGAAAGGCCTCTCTATCAAGTAAATTTTTTTTATTTCTGCTCTTCCATCAGTTTTATCTCTTTGACCAATTGTTTGTTAGTAAGCATGTTGATTTCCGTGAAGATTGTACTTTGCTTGGAACCATACACATGTATGCAAAATTAACACCTTTTTTATATAATAATTTGATGATTGTCAATTGTTTAGTAACAAATTCTGATGTCCCTTTTTCTCCAGTTATGTGGTTAACACTGGCACCTTGGACAAGTCAGGGGTTAAACGGGTACAACTTGAGTTTCCTCTATATTCTTTTTAGGGAGAAAAAGGGGGAGGGGATTTTATGATGATATTGATTGATGGGAATACAACGTTTCATGTTTTCCAGGTTGATTTACTTTAAGTAAAAAATCAGATAAAGTGGATATCACTGTACTCCCAGAAGAGTTGGATGCCATGGAAAATGTTTTACCCGTGAAGTATAAATGTATCTTTTAAAACACATGTTGCCAGCAAAGAAATCATGAGTCTGATTTCTTACCTCTGCTGGAACTGCTCCGGGTATGAACAAGCAAGGGAGCTTTCCGAAATCAGCAACACAATTTCAGTGACATGTTTGCATAGGTGTGGTACATTTGATTTTCATATCATATTGACCCACCCATATTGTTATTATTATAACTTAGGTCTTGATTTTTATATTTAACTATGTAACCAACTGGTGAGAATGAGAAGAGGAAGAAGATAAAAGATGCAAGAAAAGGAGGGCAAGTCCAAGAAGAAGGGCTTTAACTTCTAAAGGTGGTAATATCATTTTTGTTTTGCAGAAACAAATGGGGGACCTGGAGGTTACAGATTCACCAAATTGTCATTTTCCATCAAGCGAGGATTAGTTATTAGCTGTGTTGTATTGCACTTCTATCACATGTAATTGTCAGCGAGTAGCTTTCATTGTTTTGGTTAGGAATTTATATCTTGTATAATGAACACCTTATAGCACTGATGCTTTAGTTGGAAACACAATACAATTAATCATTATTAAGGTTAGTTGCTATTCAGAGTCCGTTGATGAGGCAGATATTTAGATGATCCCACGTGATAATTATTAGTATGACATCGATGTCTGTTAGTGCAAACAGGATAGTGAAATTATACTTGTAATTCTGAATTGTCTGTTTCCATTCTATTGGTCGGTGTTTTTTTTGGCGGGAGGGGGGGTTGAGAGGGGTTGCTGTGGGATCAGGGAAGTCTCATGGGAATCATGTCTTTTTGGCATTAAATTTGCTTCTTATTCTTATTTTTACAGAGTATTAGTTAGATCTAATCTCAGCTGCGTCTCAACTGATGAATAAAGGTAAATGTTGGTTTAGCTTTTTCGGACTTGTTTTCCCTTAAAAATTCTTAAAAGTAATGTTTTTTATAAATGATTTATCGAGTTTTTGTTCATTGAAAAAAGGTTGAGTTTTTCCCAACTGAATACCCTTGCTACTTTATATACACTTTTTTCACTCGAAGGTTTTGCCTCCTAAATTGAAGGAAATGTATCTCAGAAGATAAATTAGTGTTGATTAAAAAAATCATCGAGTGAGATTTTAATTGAATATCGATATAAATGCATGTGTTTGTTGTGTATATGCATGATATTTATCATTAATTATTAATCAATAACTATATCGTAAAGTGCATCTCTTGACTTTAAAATAGTTAAATCTTCACAAATACCATAAACTTGAGATGGGGCCAGTGCCTTCGGCTAATGAGAACGGAGAGAAGCTTGATTCCCAGGTAAAAACCAGTGTGATTCTATCTCAAACCAAGCCAGGTGAGTTACAGTACACTACATCTAAAAATAATTATGCCACTAGCAGCCTTTTTTTACTATTATTTTGTCAATCTATTCTTGGATCTGTTTGCACAGTAATTCAACTTGACGTAAATGACGAGAGCTGTGTTGATCAATAACCGTTACTCTAATAAAGTAGTCATTTGATAATACAGAATCATTCCCCACCCACTGATAATATGAAAACAGGGGTGCCCTTTGGCCTTTGGGACAGACCAAACAATATAAGAATTCTTAATTTTTGCTTACTATTTAGGTATTGACATATTAATACTAAAATTGTTCCATTTCGATTGTTTATAGGTGTTGAGGCAGCCTAGAAATTATTGGAAGCCGTCCAATCTATGAGTGACTTGTGCATGGCATTATTCTTGTGGCAACAGAAGTTGGCTCCACTGTGAGTCAAATCTGTTACTTCTTCCTTACTCAGTTCCCTACCTGTTGAACTACGTACCTATGCTACCATATTCTTGTCCCACCGCCATCACCGCCCACACCTATCAAAATTTCAAATGGAGGGTTCCCATTGGTTTTGGCTTTTGAGAATGTAAATGGATGCATGTTACATGCAACTATATTCTTGCTCATTTGACACATGACAACTACTTTTCATTTGCCAACAAAATGTTCAATCTAAAGGTCAGAAATGGGAAGCCATTCGTCATGGCTTGGTGTCCTAATTTTCTATGTCTCGACCCACTTCTTTGATGGCTTTTCCCCACCATATATGGTACGTATCAAATAGAAGATTCGGCCACTAGCTGCAGGTATCTTTTGTGATGCTTCTGTGGCATGCCATTGTACTGTCATTGGCATCATTAACATGCATTTTACCCTCATGGATGTCCACGTCTCAGTGCTGCACAAATTAGGTGGAGGGTCCTTTCAGAGTTACCTATTTTAACAATTAACAGATTAGGGAGATTAGACTCAAAATCACACACACCAAAGATTTGGAATTTCACAGAATAAAACCAATCAGACCAACTATAAGAGGAAATATCCCATCAAATCACAAAGGGTGCGGCTCCAGGTTCCTTAAGCTTTACATGTCAAATTTTTTAAACCATATATAGAGAGAGCGACTTTGACGTGACCGTTTTTATAAATTTACTAATAATTTAATTTTACAATCTATAGTATTAAACAAATCTCTGGGAACTCAAGTTATAAACATTAATAATTATTTTCCATGACAACAACGTGAGTGGAGAGTATACCTGTAAAGGCTGTTTGTGCCTAAGCATTAGCATTGGTTTGGTTTAAACAGGGAAGCTTGGAAGGACCGATATGTCAACAAATGGAGATGGGTGATAATAATAATAATAATAATAATAAATAATATTATTAAGAACAAATAAAATTATATTTAATTTCTTCTCTTCAATCAAACAATTTATTTTTACTCATTTTTTATTTTTGGTTTTAATCTTTTTTTCTTTTCCTTTTTTTCTTTTCTATCTACTAAACAAATCATCAGTAAAAAAAGTTAATGTTGCTTGGGGGTCAACTCCATTTCAGAGCCAAGAATGATTAGGATATGCATCTTCATACAAAGTATCTCTTACTATTTTCGTCATAACTATTGACTTGAGATTTATTCAATGTTTAGTGTAGATACAATGTAATCCCTAAACCTGTCACATGATATCAAAATAGAAAACAAGATTGAATATATATATATATATATATATATGTGTGTGTGTGTGTGTGTGTGTGTGTGTGTGTGTGTGTGTGTGTGTGTGTGTGTGTGTGTGTGTGTGTGTGTGTGTGTGTGTGTGTGTGTGTGTGTGTGTGTGTGTGTGTGTGTGTGTGTGTGTGTGTGTGTGTGTGTGTGTGTGTGTGTGTGTGTGTGTGTGTGTGTGTGTGTGTGTGTGTGTGTGTGTGTGTGTGTGTGTGTGTGTGTGTGTGTGTGTGTGTGTGTGTGTGTGTGTGTGTGTGTGTGTGTGTGTGTGTGTGTGTGTGTGTGTGTGTGTGTGTGTGTGTGTGTGTGTGTGTGTGTGTGTGTGTGTGTGTGTGTGTGTGTGTGTGTGTGTGTGTGTGTGTGTGTGTGTGTGTGTGTGTGTGTGTGTGTGTGTGTGTGTGTGTGTGTGTGTGTGTGTGTGTGTGTGTGTGTGTGTGTGTGTGTGTGTGTGTGTGTGTGTGTGTGTGTGTGTGTGTGTGTGTGTGTGTGTGACTGGTTTTTTACATTATTATTCACTGATGTATTAATACAACATTACAAGGTTAAAAAAATTTAAATTGTGGTTTAAATTTTATCATAATGTAATAATTTTACAATTAAAATAAAGATTCATAATTATAGAAAAATTACAACATTAAGAGGTCCATTGTGATATAAAAGGACTAAATTGTAACATATATTAATATTTTAGTAAAAAAATTAAATAAAAAGTAGTATAATTTAAACATTTTTTAAGAAAAGAAATTATAATTATAATTATTATAGAAACATTATATCCTAAAATATACTAGTGAGCACGTACTCACAACTCATGACCTTGGTATACAACCCATTTGGGAAGAGTTAAATCGAGTCCTATCATTTTCTTATAGATTGTTTCATCATTCACGATAAATTTAATATCACTCCACTGTGCAATGTGAATGTTGCAATAATACGACACTTTTTATGATGTGATATCAATTTGGATTGACACTCGACAACCCCTTGCCTACGGTTGGTACATAGAGCAATGCCAATTTTGGAGGCATAAACTGTGGTTATAGGTCAAAATGTCATTATTCACATGAACCCTTTGAAAAGACTTCTAATAGACCATTACTTTAAAAATAGAACAATTTCCCTTCTCTATAATATTTTTCATATATAGATAAAAGTTTAAAGAATATCATGTCATTTTAAGAATGGTTTATATCCATTGATTGGTATTTCATTAAAACTATTTAATTAACATGTAATCATCATAAGCAAATATTAACACAATGTAAAATAGAAAAGTGAAATAATAGAAAACTGAAAAGTATTGAAGTCTCCCAAACAAGTGTAATAAATATATATTAAAAAAATTGTTGCAAAATTATTATGAACAAATTAATATTCTTATTAAAAGATAATAGTTCATTACATACTTGAATATAAATAAAACATAATTCGTTGGTACTATAGACATTATATAATTTTTTTAATGCTTAGAAATTAAATACATATGAAAAAAAATTATTATATAATTAAGAGTGTTAAAATAGGCTTAACTTAATGAACACATCTAAAAGATCTAAAAAATAGGTGAAGTTATGCCAACAAATGTATGATCTAAATAAAACTAGACAAATTTTAGTCTCGACCTATATAGGTCATAACCTAAATGGGCTTAAGCCTAGACTCGACATGTCTTATAAAATAATAATGATTTTTAAAATAAAATAAAAGTAATATTATTTTATTAATATATATATATATATATATATATATATATAAAATAATAAATTCTAAACATAACATCATTTCTATTTTGGTCACTTTCCTCTTTGTTGTTATCGTCACACTCTTGTTGTGAGTTCTTACATTTTTCTTCTCATACACACATCCAACACCTCTTCTTTCTGTATGTCTCTATATGTATTCTTAACAGATATTTTTATTTTTGTTATTTTGTCTTCTGACTAAATTTTTAACTTTTTTTATTTATTTATTCCTGTAGCACTTTTGTTTAAATTATGAAAACTCCATCATCAAATGATAGCATGAAGAAAATTTTAAAAGATAGACTTAATTTGCAAAATGCTTTATTATGTAAATGTGAATATTTTTATGTGAAGTATTGTGCACATATCTTGAATATTATAGTTTAAGAAGGGTTAAAGGCAATGAGTGATAATGCTCTCTACAAAATTAGAGAAGCCTTAAATATGTTAAGGCATCAGAGGGTAGATTGAGAGAATTTAAAAAATGTGTTGAAGAAGTGCATTTAAGTGATGTAGGTGGTAGATTTTTAAGACTAGATGTGGCTACTAAATAGAATGCTACATACATAATGTTTGAAAGTATTATTAAATATCGTCGAACATTCACTAATTTGGGATATAATGACAGAAGTTACAAGTTTTGTCCAACTAATAGAGATTGAGAAAGAGCTTAAAAGACATGAATTTTTAACCCATTTTTATGATATTACTAATTTGATGTCGCGTCATCTTATCGCACCTTAAACTTATATTTTCTTCAAAATGTTATTATAAAGATGAGATTGAATAAAAATCTAACTAGTGAAGATGACATGATGAAAGATATGGCAACAAAGATGCATATAAAATTTGATAAATATTGGAACAAATATTATGTCACTTTTGCGTTTGGATGTGTTATTGATCCTTAGACAAAGTTAAATTTTAGTAAAGAAATTTTATCCATTTAATTACGAAGAGAAGGTCAATAAGGTAAAGAATAATTTATACAATCTCTTTGGTAAATATATAAACCAATCCACTGCATCAACTTCATCTGTATCAACTAGTTCAAGAGACATTCAATCTCCTTACCAAATACAAAGGGAAAATTTATCATCATCCATTCTTGAGGTAAGTTTATACTTTTGTAATTTATTTTCATTCATATATATTTAAAATTCTAATAAACTCTATTTTACCAAATTATAGGTTTATCATCAAGAAATAATAAATAATGCTTCAAATGCTTCAAATCCAGTCTTGTTGATGATAAGTTAGATGTCTTCTAATATTAGAGATTAAATAAGTATGAATTCTCTCATTTTGCAATTATAACTTGTGACATTTTAATTAATACATTTTATTCAATCAATTAAGTTATATTTTTAACTAACTTTATTTAATTGTGTTAATAATTTCTAAAAGAGAAATTTGTTTTTCAAAATATATTTAGTATTATTTTAGAAGACTTATACTATATGAAACTTGTTTTAAACAATAATACTTTCTCTTCAATTTAATAGTCATGTAATTGATATCATGAAAATAAAATGAGTCATTAGAAATAATGTCGAACATTTATTGAATAATTTTATTGAAAAAAATAAAATTAGTTATTATTTAGTTATAATTATCATATTTGGGTAAAATTTATTTATATTCATATAGAAAAAGATATTTCAGTTTAGTAGGTGTACTTTTTTATTATTGTTTTAATTTTGATTTTGTAAAGAATTCTTCATTTTAGTTTGTGTACTTTTGTTATTATTGTTTGGTTCCAAAATATGTTAAATGTTAAAGTGGATGATATCGTGTGAAGTCAAGTGAAAAATATTCAAGCAACAAGCATTTCTGATTCCAAAAGAGATTTATTTCAATAATTATTTAGTAAAATGAAATTATACAATAA